CATGAAGGAACTGAAGCTTCCCCTTGGGGGGTTTTGCCAGTAGTTGCCATGCTTGGTAGGCGGGTTGGCAACCGCAGTCAGGCTTTAGAGATGTTTTAAGAGGGACAATGCTGCGGATCTTTCGCGCTCCTTAGTCGGTTTTTATGACACCAACGGGAAAGGAAGTGGCCTATTCTATGCCGGGACCATGCGGTCATCATCAGAATATATGCAATAGAAAACATAAAGAGATGATGCATTTTTTAACCAATTTATCCAAGATTAAATAGGTGTAAAATATCGTAATGTAACAGCCCAGAAGAAGAAGAACAGCGTCTCACGTGTAGCCAGATCTGAGTTTTGTATACCCAATTCCTAAAGTAGTATTATATTACTCTAACATTTTCGAGACTATTTATAGATTTTGTGGTTATTTATCAGTCTAATAATAACCGCAAAACTGGACGTCAATTGATATATTGCCACCAAGGATTCTTAGGCTTACTTGGTGTCAAAATTATCTTAAACTTGAAAATATAGGACAATTTAAACTTGAAAATATAGGACAATTTATGTTTTTTGTTAGGGTTAAATAGGGTTATTTCTGCCAGAAATTAAGCTATGAACTTATAACGTAATAATTTTAAAATTTATTACTAGTTCGAAATATTGGGTTCTGGGCTAGAACTATCTATCTAGTAAAGACCTACTTATAGTATTGCAAAAAATTTCAATATATTACAGATTTTGATAATCTGTGTTTTGGATAAGCTTACTCCAAATTTTGAAGCTTTCTTGTAAATATTATTTGCAAAATTAAATTAGAAATGATAACTAGACCAAATAAAAATAGCAATTTTTGAGTTTCAAAGTCAAATTTGAAGTCTAACAATATAGTTGGAATATGTAGCTAAAGTAAGTTAAATTCTCTTTCGTAACTTTTTTTTTTATAAAGATTCTTATATTCATTATTTAAATTTGCTATGTAATTTAAATATATGAAAATTAGCAATGGTAATTTGGAAAAGAATTAATAAATAAATCAGTTTCCAACCTTTATTGTTGATTTCAAGTAAATGAATTTAGCTTCTGGAACTTTTCTTAATTATTCCCCAGTTTTAAAACTCGCCGGCTTTTTTGAACCGTGAGTAACGCCGCACCCGAAAACTTTTAGAATTAACAAGTCTACGACAAACCCTCGGTAATAATGTTTTTTCATATCTACTTGGGTATTTAATGTTTATATTGAAAGCGCGTCTCCTAAGGTCCTATTATCGCTTACGTTTACTTTTGTCAAATACAATTTATTAGTTGAAATATTACAACATATGTTTGTCAAATTAAGCAAAAGTAAAATATAATAACAAAAATGTCTTAATTAAGTTAGTTTTATATACACCTTTGCTACTGAAAATCTGCCAAAGCCACGATGACACAAACTTCATAACAGCCTATTGTTTATACTTGTGTTAGGAGGATGCGTTGAAAAACTTTTAGCTTTTATAAAATAACGAAGGTCTGGCAGTCACGGGCTCTTGATCTATAATTTGGGGATCATGGGCGTAACAGTATACTTTTTTATGTCCATGGTACTGCTCATGTCTATAGGCGACGGTTACCACTTTCCATCAGGTGGGCCGTCAGCTTGTTTGCCATTCTAAGTTGTATAAAAAAAAACCCTGAATAACACATATGTCTATACAAAATACATACTATAGTGCGCAAGTGAGTCTTATATTTACAAGCGCATGGATACACACTTTGAACGTTTAATTTGATAAATTATTTAGTAACAAAAAATTTATTAAGATATATATACACAGATTCTGTAGTTCCGTGCAAAATATCCGATGGGCCGTCAGCTTGTTTATCATTCTAAGTTGTATAAAAAAAAAAGATTTTTTTACAAATGGATTGTTGCTAATGAGGACTAGGGGCTTTCTCGCTAGAGATACACGATATATGTGTTAGATTCACGTGGCCTGGTATAGTTTCCAGGAGGCCACGTGAATCTAACACATTGATAATTCCTAGAGAATTTGTCATAAAAGGCTAACTGTATTCTCCAGTCTATTATTGTATTAGCGCTGAAATTATCATTTCGTTTTAAAAACTGTTATATTATATTAATTATATAATTAATATACTTATACCTATATAGGCAAATTTGTTCATTACTTGTTGTCATCTTAACGGCTCAACTAAATATCGTGAAATTTTGCATACACATACTTTTCAAGATGGAGAAGAATATAAGCTACTTTTTATCTCCATCAATAATTATCATATCCCGGTCATACGGATGAAATCACGGGTAAGAACTAGTATTTACGTACTTACATTTAATGTTGTATCAGAGACCTTATAAATCATAGTTACTATATTTACACGAATGGCAAGAGATTCCATTGGGGATGGGCATCAACGCTTTTCCAATAATAACTGCCTAGAAATGAAAGCCTTTATGGATCGTAAACGGAAAATTATAGTCTTGGACGGCAGGGCTCATTTTCACCGGACATTTGGTCTTAATATCGTACAGGCAGTGTTAGCACAGCGATGACTTGTGACGCATACCAATAACATTCAGAACTGTTAGGTTAAATTGAAATCCTGGACGTTAGACCTTCATGAATATTTTTTTATTATTACAATGGCATACAAGCTGAGGCCCTACCTGATGGAAAGCGATAATCGTGTCTAATAGTGGGAGTCGCAAATGTGAAAACGATTCATGGCTTAACATAGATATAAATTTGATTATGTATTGACTGTAATTCAGCTGTACGTTTTCCAAAAAATAAATAAATAAATAGACATAAGCAACATCAAGGTAATCACAAAATACATTACAATGCCCATAGTACTTCTCATACGTTGCTATTCCTGAGGATTGTGATGTTACGTTTTCGTACCTTAACAAGTACCTAACATATTTGTCTCTTCAGTTTTTTTTTAAATGATTCTGAAAGAAGGTATTAAATACGATTACATTTTTTAAGTGTAAAGGTGTGTATTGAGTTCCTGTGTGTTTCCTATATGGAATGGGCTTTTTTTTTTTTTATACCACTGAGGTGGCAAACAAGCATACGGCCCACCCGATGGCAAGCGGCTACCGCAGCCCATGAACGCCTGCAATACCAGAGGCATTACGCGCGCGTTGCCGACCCTGAAGAAACCTCTATACCCCCCTTTTGAAGAACCCCATGCTGAACTGCCCCATCCTTTCTTTCCCGTGGGTGTCGTAAGTAGCGACTAAGGGAATTTGATGGTCGAGAGATTGGCAGCAGCGTCCCTTTTAAAGCATCACCAAAACCTAACTTGCTAAACTGCCTGTCAAGCGTGGCAACTACTTTCAAAATCCTCCCAAGGGTCTCCCTCTATCTCTTATATGTTCAGCAGTGAACAATTAATGGCTGATATGATGATGATGATGATGATATGATTATAGGTAATATTAATTGTCTAGATATAGGATGCTATTTCTTTTGTGGGGAAAAATATACAACTTAAATATCAATAGTACTGCAATGTTTTATTCAAATTCTTGTCTCGAAATACCATGAAAATTACTTCATTAACTCCTTATATTATTTCCGAAATAAACGAAGGACAAAAAAGAAATAAGAATAATTCTATCGCAAGATCAAAGAGTAAAACGGACGCGAAGAGGCGTTGAGTGATTACACGAGTCCTTTGACTTTTGTACAAGTTCTTACAATTAACTCGAAGGGCAGTGAAGCCTTCTGAACATACTTTTGTCGATTGTTATGTGACCACTGAACGAATCAACGGTTACGAACAAAGCAAGGCGTCGAGACAATTATTACGGCTTTTGCATGCTGAGCCTAATCTAGGGGAGGGTAAGCCGGGCGAATCGCCAAAAATGTGATGCTGCAAAATCGACAGCTGCTGACTGTTAAAAAGAGAGGCAAAATTGCAAATCGACCACTATTTGCATGAAGGTCGTTTATGCAATTTTTTTAAATGCCAACAAAAACCTTTTTAGTAATAACTGTGCAATTAACTTTGTTTGTTATCGTAACCTCTTGGCGCCTTAACCAATACTATATACTTTTTACTAACACAGCTGTCTATCCGTACATTTAGTACAAGATGCTAAAAATTATTTTGAATAAAAAAACATTTTGACTCATGGAAAAATGTTTTTTTGGGGAAATGTAAAATTTTATTGGCAGAGTACGGCTGATAATTTTGTTTTCACCTTAATTATATAAATATATATGATTATTTTAAAATTGTTCTATTAAGGAAAGATAATATTATATCCACAAACACATGCCATATTTCAGTTTTTAAACAAAATGAATAAACGCAAAAAAAATCTCAGATGAAATAAATATTTCAACATGCGTATAAAACAACATTTCTTGGCTTTATTTCTCACATATAGAGCTCTCACATTTTAGATGCATCTTAAATCCATCGTGCTGTTCAGGTTGTATTTACGTTGCGCCAAGATGCGGACATACTTACATACACCCGAAAAACATTTCCCTCCATTCGGCGGGTAAAAATTACATGAATAAAAAAAGAACACACACAAACACTCAACCCATGAAGGGCGTCATAGTCGACACAGCTGTGTGTATGTATGTATATTTTGTGATGTTCATTGTGTTTCATAGAGTGACAGAATGACATGAATAGGCTACGGTTACCATGCACTTTTCACGTCAGTTTCTTTTCCATTAGAATAAAAAATAATAAATTATTAAATACATATTTTTGTCATGCGTGAATGTTTACATTTGGAAAATTACTATTCACTTACTCGAAGTAAAATATTAAATAGTCACACACACATGTTTTTATCAAACATGTATTTCGTTTAATGTAATACTTAAAGTAGACATAGCGAGTAATATGAAATAAACTACTATTTCAATAATATTACTGTGAACAGTCTAAATAATAATAATTTTGCTCTGCAAAAATGGTACCTTTGATAATAAAGTTATTTAAAAAATTATTAACACAGGAATAAATATAAAATACCATTGATTGGAAAAGATAAAAATTGACTCAGAATAAATTTACGAGACATGACATACAATAATAGGCGAATTGTGAATTCATATATCGGTAGTTTCGGCAGCTATTACAGCAAGCAATACATACTTGAGTAAAGGTATTACGACCTTTACTCAAGTTCAAATATAATTTATAGCCCATAGATATATTTCTTTGCATTCAAAATTGCAACTACTCTAATTTGCTATAATTATTGCTACAGTAAATTTTAAATTCCATTTCCATCTTTTTAGTTATTCATTATCATATGAGGTCTACACTGTTTGCCCGTACGGGGTTGCCACTCAAATACCTTATTTCTCTATCTGTTGTCGTTTCTTTGAGCTATGTAATCAGCTGCTTGCCACTTCAGCTTGCTTATCCTTCTATGTCAGTTCTTTTGCAGATATCTTCATTTTGGTTTCTGTCTCGCAAAGAAACTTCGAGCTTAACCCTCTTCATAACTCGCTGAGTAACTTGAAGCTTTTGCATATGAGTAACCATGCTTCGATTCCATAGGTTATTACTGTCAGTCATGATCTATGGAACTGAAACACGCAATGTTTAAAGAGCTTTATCTTCATACTTTGAAGTATTTTGGATGAGAAGATGTATGTAGATATAGTTTTCCGAACATTTACTAGTAGGTATAATTTAGGAATTATTTTATTCTCAAACTTTTTCAGTTTCCTGTATCTGTATAGTTGTTGGATTTTGTCACGGCATCTTAATCGAAATATTATTGCATAAGAATAAATAATTATATAATAATAAAGGAGTTAATAAATGTATATTTTTTTCAATAATATTAGGTATAGAAAAGAAGACAACTATCTGGCTGACGCAAGTATATTATAATTCATCAATGTACATACAGAAATATTTTCATTGTCTGTCTTGAGTTGCATATTGTGATTATAAGCACGAGTAAATTTAGACTTTCGGAAAAATAAAAAACAAACACTAGTCTTGTGTACTGTTCTTGATAATTCTTCGCAGTTCGCCCTAGGTTCAGATATTGTCTATATAACTTTCCATCAAGTTTAGTAGCTTTTTCCAGTAATTTCATAGACTTATAGGTTATACGTTCATTCGCATTTTATCACATCAGACATTTAACTTATTTGTAGAATTAATAAAAGTAGTGGTAAATTTCCATGTAATAACACGATTAAAATTGATTTTATTTCTATTTCAATTCATCGGATGAAAGTTCGTTGGTGTCTGTAAACAACAAGTTGATTATTTTAAGAAAATTTTGAAATTTAATTTTTGACTCTACAATAGGCTATACAAAAGTAGGCGAGTTACAAACTTTATTTGTAATAATATTTTTATTATCATCATCATATCAGCCTTTCACTGTCCACTGCTGAATATAAGCCTCCCCCTTGTGGGTCTTGCCAGTAGTTGCCACGTTTGGCAGGCGGGTTGTCAACCGCAGGCTTTGGAAACGTTTTAAGAGGGACGCTGCTGCTCATCCCTCACCTTCCCTTTGTAACTTCTTACCATATATATCCACATTTTTTATACTATGTTGAAATATTACTAAATGTATGTAGTTTTTTTGTTTCATATGTTTTTGAAACAATACTTGACTTTAGCATTATTTCAGTCCATCAATGGTTTCTGTTGTTCTATAGGATAAATTAATAAAATGAGGTAGGTAGTGATCTATATATATTTCAATTGATACGTCTACATCTACTAGGAGATCTTCCTTCACTCGGTTTGTCTACACGATCTCACCATTCAAAAAATTTTCCCTATTGATTGTCTATAGACCTTCGAGTTAAGTGGTCGACCTATTGCCGGCTGAATTTGCCCATCATTCCAGTTATATTGGTTATACCTTTCTTTCGGATTCCATTGAGTAGCATAATATTTTTTGACAAGAGGGCTGAAGGGATTTGAATAAAGTTGAATTCGTTTTATTAAATACGGCTAATTAAAGTTATTATTACTATAATTTTATATTGTACATGCCGATATGGTAGAATATGGAATAATGGACATGTAATTATTTTTTTCAATTGTATTAAATTATGATTTGATAAAATTATATGAAAAATTAGGACTCAAATATTTATTTAAAGTGAAATTTTAATAAAAGTGAGTGTAAATACTGTTTGTCCATTAAGTGAATCCACTAAATACAGTTAGTATATACAAGTCTAATTAATTACCTGTATCTATCGAAGATGTTGTATCGCACTTGCATTTCTTGTCCACACACATCCCGTTAAAGAAGCCCAAGTGTCGACAAGATTGATCACAACTTGTATTAAGACAGTTTTCTTTTTCTTGCTTTGAATAGTGTATGGTTTCTAAAAATATACAAGTATTAATAATAATAAAGCAGAGAGTTATTTTGCCGACCTAAAGTATAGCAAGTGAAATCAAATATCAAAAATATGATAAGTTATATCTATACTAAGTTGGTTTGCGTTAATTTAGAAAATAATATTATTAAAGTGTATTCAGACTCTTTTGTTGTGGCTGCAATTATATTATGGAACACATTTCCTCATGAAATTAGAAATAGCCTAAGCATTGGGATTTTCAAATTACGTCTGAAGAATTATTACCTCTCACAATACTGATGTACGTACTTATTATATTTGTGTATAATATATGTATATCTATCTATTTATATGTATTTACTTATATATATATTTTTATTAATTTATTATAATTTATTATACGTATTGGTCTTTTCAATTGTAAAGACATTTTATTAATTTATTTTTACTATAACAATGAAGTCGATTGGTACACATGTATGACTGTAACTACTAATGAACTGTCAGTTTTCTTATATTGGGTTTGCTGGAAGAAATCTCTATTGGAGATAAGCTCGCCTTTGTGCACTATTATGTTTGTTTTTACATTTTAATAACCTTTTGTTGTACACAACAGGTTATTAATATGTATAAAGAATAAAGAAAGAAAGTGTTTTCGGTTTTCTGCAATCAGATGTTTTGATGTATTTTTCTGTGTCTGCTATAGTTCTTCAAAACAGACCAGGTATTCGGTGTAATTGTGTGGCACGTAGTATCTACTTACCTTGATTTTGCAGTAAAATGTCACATTTGCATTTATTTCCAACACAAACGTCGCCTGTGAATCCCAGGCGTCGACAAAGTTGATCACAGTTTAAAGGATTGCAACTGTCACCCTTACCTGAAAATTAAAATGTTTCTGTCCGAGTGAAATTATGTTGGGCATATTAAATATTAATAGGATACTGTAATAAAATTTGGTTACCGTATAGTTTAAATTGACATTTAAAAAGAAATTTCATTATCGTTTTTTAAATAAAACAATTACCATTATGTATGTATCAGCCCTTAACTGTCCACTGTTAAACATAGTTTCTCCCATAAGAGGGGTTTGCCAGTAGTTGCCACGCTTGGCAGATGGGTTGGAAACTGTAGCTTGACTTTTGGTGATATTTTAACAGGAATGCTGCTACCCATCCCTCCACCATAAACTTCCTTAGTCACCTCTTATGACACTCACGATAAAGGAAGGGGTGGCCTATTCTATGCCGGGACCTACTCGGCTCTACACCATATATATTTAGTAAATTAAATTCATTTAAGATCGCTTTTTGTGATTTATAAGTGTATTATATATATATATTTTGTATTGTTATTTAATTAGTTTAATTGTTATTTAATTAGAGTAAATAAATATACAAATAAATTATATCTATAGTTGCCATATGTGTCTTCATTAACCACAGCATAGTATTAATTTTCTTTTCTGTAATGTGTTATATATAATATTATTTTATCAAATTTCTGCATTCTCTTAAGGTTCACTGAGAGATAATGTTACTTAGTATTAAGTTTGCATATCAAATCATTATCATAAGTGGTCAATAACTTATTATAAATAAATATTTTAATTAAAAAACTAAAATTTGAGGTATTAGGGAGTTTATTATGTGCGTTTTAAACCTACTTATTTTACAGACTTGAGTTTCTCTGTAAATTGGTACTAAAATTAGAAAACTGGTCAGTTTGCACGTGAGCTAATCATGCCAAGTTTTTAATAGTTTATAATAAGTCTTCTGGAGATTCTTGGATATATCCCTTTAAAATAAGTAACAATAGTTACCGTGCAATGAAACGTGACAATTGCATTTGTCCCCCAAACAGTCGCCGCTGTGGAAGCCGAGCCGGCGACAAATGTCGTTGCACTTTTTCGGATCGCACGTTTGCAAATTGCCTAATTTCTCTTCCTTTTTGTTGCAGAAGCAGCGATCGCTTAAACAATGGCCAGTGCCCATTGCATTGTTTTTACACATATCGTTGCAGCTTAAGGCATTACATTCGGGAAATTTTCGCTCCGCATCTGTTTAGGAATAATAATTATTTTTAGATTTAAATTTTGAACACAAACTACATATAACAGTATTAAAATTTTATAACAGTATTAAATTCTCTTATTAAAGGTTTTTTTGGAATATACTTGTCGGACACAATTATTGGAGACGACACAAACACAGTGAGTTCATTAACTTCCCGTTACTTATGTATATACAGCATCTAATCATTACACACCATTTATATATATTATTTAGAAAAAAATCATGCATATCCAATAAATCATGAGTAGAAATTATATAGGGAATCCCTATATTATACATACATACATATCTGTCACGCCTGTCTCCCATTAGGGTAGGCAGAAACAATGGAACGCCAAATGCTTCGATTCAAACAAACCTCTTTCGCTTCTTCCACATTCATCAGTCTTGCCCTATATTATATTATATATATTTTATATATGCCTAGCTATATAGCTAGGCATATATAAAATATTGGTATCCGAATATAGATTTTCGTTCAATTGTGCATTTTTTTTGTTTCTCAAATCCCGTGGATTGATCTTACGTAGTGCCGCATTATCAATCCTGCAATGCAATTATGCAATTCACGCAAGCCCTTTGCGAGATTCACACTGAATTTCACAAAGGGCTATTAGTTTAAAAAATCATTTTTCTATTTTAAATTGAAAAAGAGAATTGTTCATTTTCTATTTTAAATATAGTTGCTCACATACATTCGGAATGTTATTATTGTTAGTAGTGTATAAATAATTCATATGTAATTCATTAAAAAATATGTGATCCATCCATTGTTTCTGCCTATCTTAATGGGTGACAGGCGTGACAGATATGTATGTATGTATGCATGCAATATGTGAATTTTGTTTTTGTGTCATTTCAAATTGCATTCAAAAAATAAGCATCACTTGCTTATTTTTTGTACTTGCTCGATCTATTTTTTTAATGCAATTTAGAATGTTAAAAAAGTTAACGGCCCACCTTTGTAAAGCGATAACTGTCACCTACAGATATAAACAGCATCATGAATGTCACAGAATAATCTGTGTCATCTGTGATCCTAAGGTCTATGGTGTCACACCACCGTATTCTGTAATTTCACTTCTGCATTCCAGTCTTTAATGTTCTTATTCTTTTTAAATGATTCATTGTTAGCTAGTCCTTTTTTAAAATGATCGAAATAGTTTTGATTTACCTAATTAAATGCCGTAGTACCTTTCGAGTGGAGTCCGTGACGGCATTCACAATCATCCCCGACACAGACTCCTCCATTGATACCAAGTCGCCGGCACAGTTGGCTGCAACGAGTTCCCACGCAGGAGTCCAAACGAATAGAGGCGCTGTTTACATCTGTACGTAAGTTAGATGACATCATCAGAAAAATAGATGGAAACCCTGGAGGGTAGGCTAACTTACGGCATTATATATTATTCGCGTGTATTTTTGAGTTTATGAAACTATAAAGATTGCTTCTAGATGGCATAACAAGATAAGACGTATTTTGCGTAAAGCTATTATTAATTTCATTAAGATTCTTTATATATATAACGACATTTAATGAACTTATTTATTGTTTTTAACAGCTATTTCTATTTCATCCGAAAGTCTTCTTCCAGGTGAGTACGGTGCTTTACGTCGCAGCATCTCGTCTCGAACTACACAAAGCCCCTAATACATAATAAGTATATAAAATTTCCATAATATAGATAAACAAATAAAATTTATTTATTATTTATATATATATCTTTTATATGTACATTATCAACTTACAATTATTATGATTGTATATATTGTAATTTTATTAATACTCAGATAATTTAAGTGATTGTGTTTGTAAATATATTATCTATGGAGGGGATTTCAATCTACATCTGCATTTTAGTAGCAATTTTAATATCACAGGGTACCACTAGTAGTAGTAGCACCATAAAAATATACATATTGTCTTTAAAAAAAACTAAAATTCTAGTTAGCAATTCAGATTCGAACAAAATTCGAAAATTTCTTTTTCTATATACTTATAAATATTAATATTTACCTTCTAGTCTGCTTTCCTCCTTAGGAAAAGTGCATATGCAGGAATTTCCAATGCAATTACCAAATATATAACCTATACTATTGCAAAATGAGACACAGTTCGAGTAGATGCATTTCTCGAGCCCAACTTTGGTTTCTTCTGCGTCTGAAAACAAATTGTGTATTAAAATTAATAATTTAACATTTTGTTACTCTCCTACAAACTAAAAAAACTAGACAAATTAACTCGAATTCTTGAACCAGAAACAATTTAAAAAAATAATTAAAATAATAGCATATAGATTAAAAATGAGTAATCAAAATGTGTTTAAAAATTTATGATAATATCATTTATTTATTTATTTTAAAAGGTACATCAACAGTGTAAATACAGACATTAATTTTAATTGATATACATGGCTTGCATCTTGCGTTTACACCAATTACAGATGTAATTGGTGGTCATATCAAGTACACCAAAAATATATAGTTAAATTTATCTTTTATCTTTTATTGACTTATCACACTCCTTAACCTCCACTTTTTAAGGTCTATGCTTCACGATAACTCTGCCTAATGATTTTTTAATCAAAATGTTATTCCCGTATTCTATACCAATTCAGAAAATTTAAAAATAAGTTTTTTGTACAACAATATAATCATAACAATAATATGACAACAATATTACACAATATATTATTTAATTAATAAAAATATTTATATAATATAAACAGGTAAATAATTGAATAACAAAATTATTAGAGTTACTATGCGTTATATATGTCATATTACAATTGGTTATACATATGTAATCAATTAAAGCAATTAATTACTAATGTTGAAAGTTAATAGTTTAAATAAACGTATCTTGGCTGGGAATTACCAATGACCGCAACGTAATCTAATGTCATGATTTGCTGGATCATATTTTCCTGATATTTGTTAGTCGTTACGTGTATAATAATAAGAGTCAATTCGCCTTGACTTTTAATTGCAATTATGACTTTTAAAGTTTTCATTAATTATATATGGGAAGTAGAAATTATTTGCCTCTTTTTAGGGGAACGTTTTACAAGTAAAAAAAGACTTTTCATAAGTATTATATAGAGCCGTCCAGACTTGAGCTAAGCGGAGATTATCCTGTGGGTGTACCAGACAATTGAAAACCATATTTAAATATATATTTTTTGTATACATATAAAAAAAAATTAAGTATGGTAGTTATGTTATGGTAGTTTGGTTAGTAGCCATAGTATGAGTACAAGCTCTGCTTGGCTTGGGTCTAAATAACTCTATGTAGGTAAATACATATATATGATCATAGAGTCATCTGTTCAGCAACGGACAGATAATGACTGAGATGATGATGATGATAATAAATAGAAAATACCCAGACTAATACAAACACACATACAAATACAAATATGTGTATTCATAAGTATGTATGTGTTCGGGCAGTGAATTAAACCGTTCTACCACGGAAATCGTCAATCGAAATACTATATGAGTATTAAATTGCTAATTTTATTATGAAACCTGACTAAAATAGCTGTAACTACACACTATTTTCAATATATTAAGATCAATTTTAAATAAACAAATACCTGTTTATTTTTAGCAGTTACTTACCATTATGACCAACAGCAGAACCGTTAACTAACAACGCGTTCACAGTACAAAGGGAAACAATTAAAATTATTTTCGTTAACATGATTGTTTTGATGACTGCAATATAAAAGTATGGAGAGGGATGATTTTCCTGTCATATATATACAGGACTTGGTATATTAGGTACGTGATATCGGGAATTCACCAACACGTCACGGATGCACTGGGAATGGCGTTGTGCCGTTACTAAGTGCTAATTTTACCCACTTAGATTATTATCTAAGGAGATAAGATTTTAAAGTTTCAAGTTTGTGTACATTACTTATATCAGAGCGAGACTTTGTACAAGTCATTTGTAAGGAATGTATGTAAGTGAGTTCTAAGGACCTACCATGTAATGTTTTAGAAAATTCGAGGCTGAACGAAAGATAAATTTGATAATTACATAATACATACAGTTTAAAAATATTAAAGATGTTAAAGTATCGTTTCCTTGGACTAATATGGTAGGAACGAAATGTTAAGTTAAAAAATTAAGCAACTGAACCGATTAAAAACAAATTATAGGACTAATTTATAAGCACATATATCCTGTCAAGTAAAAAAATAATTTTCCAAATTTTTTATAACTGACAGAGTTATGAGGTTAGAAACATAACAAAAAATACAACCGAATTGAGTACCGTATTCTTTTTGAAATAGGTTGAAAAAAATTGTAGCAGAGTATCACCACGTAACTTGCTAGTTAAGTTAGTAAAAGTAAGTGTTAAATTTCGTCAAATGTTAATTTGTTGGCCTCTCAAAATGCATCGATAAATCAATCGTGCAATATTATAATCAATACGTTCATAACATTTGCGTTAGATGGCACCAGTGGACCGTGAGTAATCGGAGAGCAGGAAAGTACGTACCCACATGCGATATTTAAACAACGATAATGTGAACAGCCGGTTGTAAAAATATCGGACTCGACGAGATCGCGTTATCAGAATACCAGCAATAATCAGCATTTAAAATAACAAAAAGGAAAAACAAATTTATTTTACATATTTCGTTTATTATGAAGTTCGTAGTGGTTATGTTGTTTATATTTGCTGTGCTAATTGGATATCAAGGTATGTTTATGTTTTCATAAATTTCCACAACTTCTATGGAAATTTCCTACCTAATAATTTAACTACGGAGAAGGGAAGTCGACCTCCACGCGGTCCTTCCTGGAAATCATTGTATTTGTCGCTATAGGTCAACTGACCCGAATTTACTGTAGACTCTATCGTAAACTAATAGGCAAGGTTAATTAAGTAGTAACATAAGTAAGTTAGGTTAGGTATTATTAAATTATGTACTAAATTACTTATCTTATTAATAGTCTTTTTAAACATCATCAAACCGTAGTTACCGGTTGCCAATCCGCCTGTCAAGCGTGGCAACTCCTGGCAAAACTCTCAGTAAGAGAAGGCCTATGTTCAGCAGAGGACAGTTAGCAGCTCATTTGATGATACTTAATTATAACTTTGGCAGATTTTACACATTTTAAAATATTTTTTTTTTTTGATACGATTATAAGTAAATATTACCTATATAATTTTTCTGGGGAAGGGATTGTTAGTAATGCGAATTACCAGTCTCATTGTTAGCAATAAACCCTGTCCGCTCGACCTCCCCGTGATTCCCCCTAGAAACTATCGTGCTGAATTCCAGGTGTATTCATCATGATGGGCTAACTAACTATCTTTTCATTTTCACTTATCACTGGTGCCCCGCCAGCGTATACCGTTAGCGTAGGCGGAGTTACCATTCTATTATCATCTATTAACAATATATCCCAAAAAAAATTTAATTAAAATATAATATACAAAATACATATGTATATACACATTAACATATGTGAGAGAATATCCATGTGTATTATAATAAATTGTGTTTCACAAAAAAAAAACCGACTTTAATTGTGACAATAAAAGTAACTTTAATTAAAAACTACCTACTAAAACTAAAACAGTACCTACTTTGATAAATTTTTTTATGAAACTAACTTGTAAGTATATGCTTTTAGATATAGAATAATTTTCCAAATCGGTTTACAATGGATGGAGTTATGAAGCTACAAACATAAAAAAATACAACAGAATTGACCGCCTCCTTATTTTTAAACCTGTTGAAAATACATTTATATTCTGTGACTGTGTACAAAAAATTTGCAATAAAACTATGGTCCAACTTTGTGCTAAATTTACTACGCTTTCATTGTGTCCTATAGCGTGATTGGGTGATAAGTATGTACCGAAATATCAAAACATCTTTTGCTACATCTTTCTTTCTTTACTTTTAAAATTATACGTTATATACATATAATTTTAATCTAACAATAAATATAAATCTAACAATTTGTCCGCTACTTCGTATGCGTGTATAATAAAAGTACGAAAACCAATAAAATAGACCAGAGGGAGACTTTGTACAAAAGTCGATTGCTTGGGTTCCTCTGTCCCATTCGTATTTCAACCGTGAAGCAGTTGTGTTTGCATGGCTGTGTTTCGGTTTAAAGGGTGGGATATGGCGTGAATTTACAGGGTACAGAGGAATAACATCTGAGTCCTCAGGAATGGCAATGCATGGGGGGGGGGGGGGGGTATCATGGGCGAAACAGTATACTCTGTTATGTCCATGGTACTGCTCATGTCTATAGGCGACGGTTACCACTTTCCATCAGGTGGACCGTCAGCTTGTTTGCCATTCTAAGTTGTATAAAAAAAAGATCACTTATGGTGTATCAAAACAATACATACACCAAATTTTAAGTTAGACCTTCAAGAATACAAAATCGACAACCGTAACCAATGGTGCATTAGTTTTTGCGTGATATCGAAACAAAAATACAGGCAGAGAGACAGACAAAATTTCTAAAAAATATTGTTTTGGCATCTATTAATTAAGACTCCTCATATTTTTATTTTTTTACATATCACCCATGTACAGAAATATTCTAGTTACAATTTTATTATGTAAGTAAACGTATAATTATATAAATAAAAAGATAAATAGGATTTGATATAATAATTAGGTCTAATCAGATAGGTATGTCCTAATCAGGTCTCAATACTTATTGAATGTAGGTAGGTGTCGTGTCATTGAACTCGGTAAACTGGCGTCGGGGCATCCCTGCAGCCACAGATAATATAATACTAATAATACTAATACTGTTACTAACGTAGATGTTTATACTAGGTTTGTATATATGATTCATTAGTATCGTCTCGCTTTTGTTTTTATTCTTAAATTTTTTTTTTTCCGCAACTTAGTCCATATGATCGGATTAAAAACTCGTCTATATTCAAGGGCGAATACCAGATACTAGGTATTTATCAATTTTTATGAAGATTTCTGAATTTTAAAACCCTTTTTTTACGGTTTCTTAGTAATAATTAAATTCCTTTTTATAATTATTATACTTTTTATTTTTCCTTACATTTTTTATTTTCCATTTAGGTATAATTTATTTATTTATTTATTTATTATAAGTTACAACAACAGTTTGCAAACAGAAATGAACCATTAAAAAAACCAAAACAATACAAAAATTTATCAATACGCAGTTTGAATTACATTGTAAACATACACTAAGTTATAGTATTTATCTTTTATATACATTATATTACTGATTACAATTATGAATTTTTATTATTCCAAAAACCATACAATGACCTCTTAAACCCAATAGTACTCTGATGAAAGATATCGATTTTTCCGATTTTATTATACAATTTCGATTAATTCATTCAACCCATTTTTTTTCTACGGTTTCTTAGTAATAATCATAATACGTAAATTTTGTTTTAAATGAAATTTTATATTTATTATATTCTTTTATATTTTTTTATATATAGGAGACCAAACTGATGCACATTTTTTATCTTCCAATTAATAAAAGTGTATAAATAAAGTACTATTATATATTTTACAATTAAAAAATTAAATATACAATAATTAATCTAAAATCTTAATTTGTGTAGTTAAAATAAATCTAAATCTAATCTTTTGGGAGTTATTTATTTCGTTTTCTTAACACACATACCTACATATTGAGAATATTTTCAGTGGTTCATGTATACTAAAGGTATTATTATATTATTTTTAATTCTATTTAGATTATATAAGAAAAATTTGTAAAGATATTTGGACGTTTAGAAATATCAAAGATAATAGATGATGTCTGTACAGATGTACAAGGGGAATTTTTTGAGTGTACTATGTTTGTCGTTTCCGACAATTGTTTCGAAATCATCCAGAAGTCTTCTTAGCGTTAGGGGGCGTCTGGCGCTTTACGTCAGAGAGTCTCGTCTCATACTGCTGACTGCATCTCGCAGAGTCCGTGAAGACAATATACGAGTAGGTGATAGGTGATGAAGATAGATGCTTGTTACTTAATTACATTTAAACGATTGATTTGAATGAAATTTAATGCACAGGTAGGATATATCATAACACATAGGATACTTTATATAACGATTCGCGTAGGCAACTCCATGTAAAACAACTAGTTTTTTTTTATATCTCGAAGATCGCAAACAAGCATACAGCCCGTCTGATTGTAAACGGTCACTGTAGCCTATGGGCACCTGTATCTCTAAGGGTGTCCCGTGTGCGTTATCGAACTTGAAGAAACCTTAATATAACCTTTTTGAAGGGAGAGGGGAAGAAGGATTGTTAGTAATGGGTTCTAACAGACCAATTGCCAGCGACATACCCAATCAGGTAGACCTCTACGTGGTCTCCTCCTGGGAATTATTGTGCTGCATTCCAGACCTTTTCACCACGATGGCGTAACTGACCTGTACTTTCATCAACACCTATCATCCCTCACTGGTGCCCGATGGCGTATATCGTTAATGCAGGCGAAGTTGCCATTTAATTGTCATCCATTTACAAAAAAAAGTTTCTTTAAAGAATCCCATATTGTAGTCTTTAGGGAAAACCTCATATATATTGTAGTATACTCATAAACCACATTTATTACATATTTTAATGTTCAGTTATGGCTTTGTTATGATTTTATTAGGTACAAGTAAAGATAAAGAGCGCTGTATGGTTTCATTAGTTGCTGTTTGATAAAAAAAATATGTAACGTTGAATCAGACTGAATTACGATTATTGTCGTGTATAAACCCAATATAGTGGGAGCATATCATGTGATATGTAGGTACATGTTTTTATTTCGTGTTTTCCTTCTCTTGCACTTATCGACGCTGGAAAAATAAAATGTATCAAGTGACATATATAGTATTTTTGAGATGTTTTTTAGTTTAATTTTGATGTTTTATGGTTTAGCTAAATCACCAATTGCTCTGCTTAATTTATTATATTACTTAACTTTCTATTCGACGCAGAAAAAAAATTAAATATATATATAAATTGAATATATTGTTTTTATTACTGATTTCTTCTTAAAATTTAAATAAATTGTTTAATTCTCTTTAATTCTTTATTAAATATTTTAATATCGGCCAGAGTGTCGCATAATACATTTTGCCTTTTCAGCGTCGTTATGTTTTGCACTCCATTTTCTGAGTTGCCTCTTACAATATCCTGGACATGAAAAGGATAAATGACGTTATATTTTTACCTCGTCATTATTATGGGGAATCGTTTTCATGTCCTTATTAATCCTATTTCTATTATAAATGTTAAAGTTTGTGAGTATGTATGTATGAAAGTATGTTATTTTATTACGCGAAATCTATCAAATGGACTTGAATGAAATTTGATAGATAGATAGGTTATATCCTAACATTAAACAGCTAGTAGTATTGATAGGTATGTTAATTACAGTGATGGCTTATTCATTCTTCATACTCGTGAACGGGGGCTTCTAGTAGAGACTGGTTTGTTCAAGAATATTGTGGTTGATTGTAGTTTTGTAGCTTTTTATTTTCTTTTTTATCAATACAAAGTTTATAATAGTCATTTTATCCATTCATATTTTTTATTTTTGTTATAAATTTAACTTTTAATTGAAAAGGCTACAGCTGTGTTTTTAGCTCGTTCTTATTAACTGAACTGGGCGGTAATTTCATAAAAAAATTACTATCCCAACATGCTTATGTTCACTTAAGTTATTCAGTTTATGTGAATAAAAAATATTTATTATTATTAAAAAAAAAAACGCGTTTAAATCACTGAATGGATATGAATAAAATTTAATACTGAAAGAGACCTGCATCCTAGATTAAGATATAAGATTCATTTGTATACTAATAAACGTGGTTAAAGCTATGAAATACAAGTAGATATTTAATAATTATTTTCACTTGCAGAGGTCAACGCAGCTGTGAGAGCAAGGCATCCATGCTATGGAGACTGCGTCGAGATGTGTGGTCTGCAAGGCAAAAGTTCTGGCACCTGCATGAGGGGTGTTTGTCGATGTTTCTCCGATGTGGGTTCATAATTATGATAAATAATTTGCGTCAAGTCATCACAATGTACTTTAAAAAGTAATTATCAATGCATTATTTAGTCGATTATATTGGATTTGCATCGCCAAGAGCATTTATTGCATTTCTTATGGTCGATTTGATAGATAATACCGCTAGGTGTTAGGTCTACTATACGAGAATTATACTTTATGTATAATTAGGTTTTACCTGTGACTTTGTCTGCGTGATGATCTATATGTCTCTATGTCCTTCCATTCCATATAATAGGCATATACTAATTTTTAAATTAAATAGTTTAGCCGGTTAAGGTACTAAAAGGCAACAAACGAACTCACTTTCCCATTGATAACATTAGTAAAGACGTGCATAAAAACAAATAAATGTATAATTAATTTGTACATTCAGTGAGATGTAATTCTGGGCTTTGTCCATGTAATGGAGGTTAGTACAATGCAAGAGTAAGTCTAAGATGCTAAGCTAAGTTACCTACCTTTAGTTTTTAGCACAAAAAATCGTTAAGACCTCTCTTTTAAATATTATAGTCATGTAAAAGATAGTTTAAATGTATTGAATAACTGGATAGATTTATAGTTAATTTACAGTTACTTTTATAGTTAATGTGTACTTATAAATTGTAAATAAACATAACATGTAAAAGACAATTCGTCATAGTCCTAGAATACTGACGGATCTTTATATGTAATATTTGTCAGATCCGTCAGTATTCTACGACTATGACGAATTGTTTAAAATTTTAGTATTTCTTTTTAATAGAATAAAAAGAAAATATTCATTATATCTTTAGGTTTAAAAAAATAAAATTATGCATTCGAAGTTTTTTTTTTAAGTGTTCAGTTATTGTATTAGTAATTATAGTTATAGTCATACTTACCTCCTGATATGTAAATAAATATTATATGATTCTTATTTAATAGTTTTATTTTGTGATTTTACATATTTTTCGGTATAAATTATCTTCACATTGCCTTTTTTATAAGGTACTTAAAGGATACTCACTCTACCTATAGTCTAGGATTTTGAACACGGTAAATTAATTCAGGTTATTAAATTACTATGAAAGTTAAAATATTTTTGTCAATGTATATAAATAAGTTATAGTAAAACATTTAACTACCAAACAACTTTATTTATTTAAATTTAAAAGGAAAAACAACAGCGTACGTATTAATACACTTTAGAACAGTGCAATCCGGCTCGAAGGATCACATTTATGTTTTAGAGGGACAGTTTGCAATCCATAATAACAATAGTCAAGATATATGCGCCGATATGGCTTACAACAAATCTTTAACATTAAAAACTGCTAAACATGGCAACAATGTTTATTCACCCTGAAGTGCAATTACTAAAGGTGCAATTTGCCAGTGGCTAAGTGTTTGCGCTAATGTCTCCATTACCCTCCATTTAGCGAGTGAATAATTTGCATATGACAACACAATTTCTCCATTTCAGCAAACATGCTGTTTGATTCGCTTAAAGGGGTTTCTGAGCTGGTCGCTGCACGCAGCGTGCTCGAATTAACGTAACGTTTATTGTTCATTAAACGTGGTATTATGTGTGTTATTTGCCGTTTGTTTATGGTATGTGTATGTTTATTTAATTTGCCTTACCTTAGTCACCTTTTAACATTCCACTTTTGGACATGGGTCTCTTTATAAGAGCAGAATGTAATTACGTTAACCATGCAGCTTTATATAGGATTTTAATTCGACATTCTTTCTTTAGCTCTGGTGTGTTGTTTTATTATGGGGATCTAGTACTTCGTCACCTTTCTGTGTGATCCTGGCATAGAATAGGCTGTCTTTTCCTTTCCCGTAGGTGTCGTAAGTGGCAACTAAGGTAACTTAATGGTCGACGGATGGGTAGCGGTATTCTTTTTTAAACATCACTAAAAGCCAAACTTCAATTGCCAGCCCACCTGCCAAGCATAGTATCACTAGCAAATCACTTGCCCCCTCCCCCCCCCTCTTATGGGAAAAGCCTATGTTCAGCAATGGACAATTGACGACTAATATGATACTAATATAATTTTAAAATCTACATGTTACAAGGGTTGAGGACGGCAGTGATGCCTCTGGTGTAGCATATCATATGTTCGCATGTATATCATAAGCTTATATGCTACTGTTTATAATATTGTTAGAATTATAACCATAATAAATATTACCAATACTATTTTTTTCATTTGTGGTACAAAACAGAGATTTGATACTAATATCTCTACCAGAACGATTAAATTTTATTATATACCTACAGCGCTACGTAACATCGTCATGTCAGAACAAACCGATATGCTACGTTACTCTCTGTGGTTGAACATTTTACACATTTAATTTAGAAATAAAACAATATCCTTGTGTCTTTCTACGTGTCTCGGAACTCTGGACTCTTGCAGAATATCAACTAGTACAGTAATTGCAGAATACACAACTAGCCAGCCAGGTAGGTATATGTGTATCCTATCTGGGATCAATTTCGCCTAAAGCGAGTCCAACTTAGTTGTTAGCACTTATTCCCATTTAGTTAACAACTTCAGGGTACTGACTACGTGGAGAATATTTATATCTCTTAGGTTAATTTATTTACTAACAAAGTAAGGGATGGCTTGTTACTTAGTTAGGTTGCTTTTAAGACGAACAACGCTCTGAATATTTTTTGTAGGCTTTTCGTTTCCGTAGAATTTATATACAGATATATATATAGATATATACAAGAAGAGAAACTTACCGACTTACAAAGAAAGTTCTTTTACAACAACAGTCAACAAACAAAAATTGTATTTCTTTTTAAAGGCCATTATAATACAAGTAATAAATTATATCCACTAGGAACTTACGTACATATTATTATCTGTAATACTGCAAAGAAGAAAGTTAGTGTAATAATGGGTTGATTGCAATCACAGGTAATTATTTTTGGAAATGAAATATGTTTTTATACAGTTAGGTACAAAGAATACCCCAAGTCACTCAGTGAGTTGTGTGACAGAATATGAAACGAGAACATCTAGACGAGAAAATGAATTTGAATCTAGTCTATAATGCCCATAGGAGGAATTGGTCTTAAGGTCTAGGTCTACTAAGTTGAAATGGCAATGAACGTAGTAAGTCCTAGGCTTCCTTAAACAGCATAAAATTGTGGGTATCATAAGACCTAATTACTATTTACTACATATTAATATTATATTTATATTAAGTACACAGTAACAGTAATTTGCAACAATAAGTGTATATTTCATAGAATATTTCGATAAAAGATGTGACTGATATAAATTAAATTTAAATTTAAATAAAAAAATTACGCAGGCATAAATGAGTAAAGTTTTATAAAGATCTTAGATCTTTCTGTACTTACATTTAAATATGGCAAAATTAGATAAGTTTCGAATGTCGTATTTTTGCGTTTGAATTGGCAAATTACTATAACTATAGGAGACAGTGCTAAGGTCAGGAGGTTTAATTTTCACTTAAAAATGGCGTTCAAATAAGCTTTTTTTTTATTTGTGATTTATTTATCAATAAACAGCGTGTATACAGATTATTTTAGTTGATAGTCGTTTACAAGAATTTGTAATATCCTAATTTTTTATGTACGGTTTCTATCCAGGATCATACTACTTTTCATGTCTTGTCCCACGTTAGGTTCCATCAGTGTTTTCATCTTATCATTGGTTTTAATCAATAGTATTATTATGTATAACTACTGGAACAAAACATTACACACAAGAGAAACGACACTGAAGAGAAAGAAATTCAAATCGTAGATCTAAGAATTTTTTTCTTTTTTGAAATGCATACATGGATCCATGAAACTATTGAAATCGTGCAAGCGGCACTGTTTCATAACGGTAATTACGTAAATGTAAAATTTAAAATTGTTGTTCGGGTTTCTTACAATTAAACTTAAAACTGATAACAGTCGTATAAATGCGTATAGGTTATATTTAAAAAATGTTGAATTTTTTATTTTAATATATTTTTATATGAGAAAAGGCAAAAGAATAGAATAGAATAGAATAGAAATCATTTATTCAAATAAACTTACATTGAAGCACTTTTGAAAAGTCATTACATTTTTTTTTTAATTTACCGCTCGTTCGGAAAGCTGTCTCATCACAAGAAGAACGAGCAAGAAACTTGCGTGATGCTCTTTTAAATAATTTTATTATTATTTTACATTTTTAAGTTTAATTGTGTGAATACAAACCACCAATTAGCACTAATTCAATTAAATACTCAAAAAGAAAAAAAAAATTGAATACATAACCAACTGGTTAAACAATTAATAAGAGGAAATCAGTCATAGTGATTAGAGCAGACCAGTCCCTACAAGCAGCACCCGTTCACGAGTATGACGGATGAGCCAGCCATCACTGCGCTCGACCATATTTTAGGGAGCCCAATGACCCGGCCCACCACGCCGCCACAAGTCTGGACATTTTAGTGAGCATGACTACTCAAAACACTAGACCACGTCAAAGCTACTCACAATTGCCATCTGATAGTTATAGTATTCACATTTTACATAAGAATGCATGCGGCAATTAATACAAAAAACCGCTACGCTTTCATATTTCTAAAATTAATCAATTAAATCAAGAAAGCAATGAGAAAAAAAAAATTATAACGTTGTATGCTAATAAACTAATTATTTACTTGATATGTTGTCATCTATGAATTCGTCTATCCTGTAATAGGCTTTCTTACATAAAAATTGTTTAATATAAGATTTGAATTGCCTCTCTGTCAGATTTAATGCAGATTCCGGCAGTTTATTATAAAATCTTATGCAATTACCATAGAATGAATTACTGATTTTGTGCAGACGGCATTTAGGTAAAATAAGCTTATTTATATTGCGTAAGTTTCTACTTGTACAGTCTTTGAGTTTTTTAAAACTCGCTAAGTTCTTCCGTGTATACATAATATTTTCATAAATGTATTGTGAAGTAACTGTGAGGATATTTGAGTCTTTAAAGCACTGACGTAATGACTCTCTTGAACCCATACCATAAATAGAACGTATGGCTCTCTTTTGTAAAACAAATATAGTATTTATATCGGCTGCTTTACCCCACAGCAGTATGCCATAAGACATTATGCTATGGAAATAACTAAAATATACAAGTTTAGCCGTCGCCACGTCTGTTAATTGCCTAATTCTTCTAATTGCATATGCAGCAGAACTGAGTCTACTGGCCAATTTTGAAATATGGGGCCCCCATTGTAATTTCGAGTCCACTGTTATACCTAAAAAAACTGTATCATTAACAAAATTTACTATTTCGTCATTAAGCAATAACTGTGTATTTATTAGTCTTACATTAGGAAGTGTAAATTTTATACACTTTGTTTTGCTGGAATTTAATAATAGGTTATTACATGTAAACCAATTTAATATTGCAGACATCGTTTATTTCATTTACATCGTCTAATTGATTACTTTGACATCCAATTTTAAACACTAACGAAGTATCATCCGCAAACAGCACTATATCTGCAATTTTCTCTACCATAAAGGGAAGGTCATTTATGTAGATTAAAAAGAGAAAGGGGCCTAAGATTGACCCTTGTGGAACGCCCATCTTAATATTAGCTCCCTTAGATTTTACACCGTCAATATCTACAGTTTGAACCCTATCCTCTAAATAAGTTCTCATTAATTTTAGATCATTATCTCTTATACCATAATGTTCGAGCTTGTACAAAAGCGTTTTATGATCCACACAATCAAATGCCTTTGATAGGTCACAAAAAACTCCGAGTGCATCCTGTGACCTCTCCCAAGATTCGAAAATATGTGTCATTAGCGCAACACCTGCGTCAGTGGTAGACTTGCCGGCGGTGAAACCATATTGCTGACTGTGAAGCAGTCCGTTAACCCTGAAGTGATGTAACATTTGATTTAACATTATCTTTTCAAACACCTTACTTAGAACTGGCAAAATAGATATAGGTCTATAGTTCCCTGGCTCAAATTTATCTCCTGATTTAAATAGTGGGATTAATTTGCTAAATTTCATTAAATGTGGAAAAACGCCATTATCAATACATTTATTAAAAATAGTGGCTAGATATGGAGCAACAATATCTATGAAAGAACTAACTACTTTTACAGACATGCCCCAAAGGTCTTCCGTATTTTTTAAATTTAGCTGTTTGAATATTTTTATGATATGAAAGGGGCTAACATGTGAAAATTTAAATCTTAAAGAACAACAACCGATATTAGTCTCTAGTAATTTTTTTGCTCGAGATTGAGATGAGTCCAGAGAAGATGTAATATCAATCGGAATATTAGCAAAAAAATCTTCAAAAATATTAACTACATCTTTTGTTGTTGTTATTAATTTATTATCATAATTTAATGTAAATTGATTACAGGCTATTTTAGATCTTCCAGTTTCTTTATTTATAATGCTCCAGATGGTTTTAATTTTGTCAGAAGACTGCTTAATTTGTTTATTAAAATAATTAGACTTAGCCATAATACAAACTTTTTTAAAAATTTTAGAATAATTTTTTACATAAGTGGTGAATTTGTCATCAAATCGATATTTTTTTTTGATCGTATAAATCAAACAAAATATTTCTACTTTTAAGTATTCCTACTGTTGCCCATTCCGTGAATTTAGATTTAACATGAACTTCTTTTTCTTGAAAAATTGTTCATATTCTCCGGATAAAATATTAATTAGCTTGGTGTAAAGATAATCAGGATTATTACTAGATTGTAACAGCAAATCCAATTTATTTTTAATCGCGCTTTTGTATTTATTAATATTGTAAACGTTTATTTGTCTTTTTGATTTTTTATTATTGTTGACTTTATTGATTTGACTGCTAAACTTAACAACTTGACCACAGTGATCTGAAGGAAGTTTATTTATTATGAATTTTTCTGTATACTCGCAGTTACAAAAAACATTGTCAAGACAAGTAGCAGACGTGGCAGTTACACGAGTGGGTTCATGAAAGACATGACATAAATCAAATGACTGAAATAAACTAATAATTTTTGTACATGTGGGTGTGTTACAAAGAATATCAACGTTAAAATCTCCACATACAATAATTTTTTTAATACTATTAAATACTTTTTTTAAAATATCCTCCATCACCCCTTCAAAAACATTGTAATCACTATTAGGAGGCCTGTACACACATATAAGGATATAATTTTCTAGTTCTATACAAGATAATTCTATACAACACTCAATAGAAAGTCTAACAATGTCAGCACGTTCCTTTACTTTAATATTATTTCTTGCAATTATCATAGACCCGCCTCTGTTAGCTGACTTTCTATTGAAGCAGCTGACAACGTTATAATTATTTAAATTGAACATCATATTGCTTTCTTTAAGCCAATGTTCTGTGAAACAGACAATATCAATATTATACTTTTCTAAAAATAATTGTATAATTAACTCGCTGCCGGGAAAACTTTGTATGTTCTGATGAACAATTATTAATTCTGATTGCTTTCCCTTTGTCTTTGTGAGCAGTTTAAATCTGCAGTCATAGTACTTATGTCACAAATATTAATAGAATTATCTGTTATGTCAGCATTTTTATGTTTAAGTTTACCATGTAAACTGTTCATGTAGTCAATATTATAAGCCACTAAAGTGGCTATTTTATTTTTAGATGATTTAGAAAGATACATTGTATCTTTTGTCAAATAAAAATCACTAATAAAACTATTAGTATCAAAAAATGTCAAAATGTCACTATGACGACATGTCAATGTATGTAATAAGTTATTCAGGTAATGTACCTTACTGTTAATTTTTTTATGAAGATGTCTATTTGTGTAAGGAAAAGCGCACAATACAATCTTATACACATTTAATTGTAATAAATATTCAATTCCTTTAATTACATCCTGTCTATTTAATTGAATACTATTACCAAAAAATAACACAATTGTGGTCATATTGTTCATTTTCGTAGACTTAATTTTATTTATTATTTGTGTAAATGATGCTTCTGGCATGCAGTAGTTTAATAAATCACCCTTAAGATGATACTTCAATATAGACCCAAAGTTACAGCCTATTCTGTCAGAGAACACCATTGTGCTACTCTTAGGGTTACAGTCACTGGCACAAACACCCTGAACTTCATTTTCCAGCACAGTTACAACTGAATTATTATTTGATATATTTGTGTGATTACATGTACAATGCTTAGTCAACGACTCAAAACGGTCAGCATTGTATTTACTGACATCAATCAGATCATCCATTGCTAAAATATGCTCCTGGATTTGTTTCTGAGAGATAATATACTTTGTATTTAAATCATGAAGCGAAGATTCTAAACTATTGATTTTTGAAGTTAGGTAGTCTGTATCAATGTCATATAACTTTTGGCTTTCCACTAACTTATTATTACACTTATTAATGTAATCATGCAATTTTAAATTATTCAAAGTGGTTTTTTTCAATAATTGTCCCTTTTTGCAACGCTTATTTAATATATTCCGATTCTTAATTATAAACTTTTTTAGTTTTAAATATTTTTTAAATTTATTATTACTCAACATACAAATATTACTGTTATAGTTGCCTAATTTAGGTGATGTATCACTAGTAAGGTCAATTACAACAGGATGGGTGCATGGAACTGTAGTAGAAGGAGGCACACAGTCAACACTAATAAGTTCCTCATATAAATTACTAATCTCATTACTTTGTCGAGATTCCAATCTTGTGTCTAGATCATTGATTTTAGAATATGCCTGCTTTAACTCAAGTTCCAATTCAGTGATACGCCTCAAGGCTTGCTCATGAGTGTCACTACATTGATGAAAGCTACTTATTAGTTCTTGAAGCTGATCCCGCTGCTCAATAACTTCCTGATGGCTATTATGAAGTTCTGACAATTCTGATTTTAATTGGGTATTTTTATTTATAATTTTTAAAATTTCATCTTCACTCTCTTCTCTCTCCCTGATCAACTTGTCACTGAGATCTTTGGATGCCTGAAGTTCTTGTAGGGCCACTTTAAGCTTCATCTCTGTCTGCCGTGCAGTTGTGGAACGGGTAGATAGTGACATTATTGAATATATGAATAGTTACTAGGGAGAGTGAAGTGAGTTATTTCTAAAAAAAGTATCACAACGAGAACAGCAACTGAACCTTACTTATTTTATGTGTTAAAATTTTGAATAATTTTTGTTAGGTATATTTATACGACCTATATATAAAATAAAATAATATAAAAAGGTATGTGATTCATCGGATAGTAAGTGGTCTTTCAAACTACGGACAGTACCTACACCAGATGTGTTACCTACAGGTTGTAGGCATTTTAGAAAGGCTATCATGATTTTCATGTAGAATGTATCAGAACGTATCAGAATGTGTAATAAACAAATGGACAAACTGACACACTTGACACTTGATGATGTAAGTAAAGACTCTAAAGATGAGTTGTTTTCTTATCTCCAGTACATCCCCTGATACGTTGTAATAATTTAATCAAGTTGTTGACCTAAATAGTATTTATCACATTTTTCATATATAGGTGCATATATAAATGTCATTTCAAGATGTTGTAACCAGTATGAAGAAGTTTTGACATCATGAAGTCTGTATTCAAATTAGAATCATTTTTATTAGTGATTCTTTTTTATATAAACGTGAATATTATATATTGCGTTAATTTACAAAATGGTGAGTTTCTAGTAATTAATTAGAGGTACTTAAATTAATTAGAAATACCACATTTAGGTATAATAAGGAAATGTTGATTCAGGACTGGGATAGAAATAGCGGTGTTTATAAATAACTTTTAATGTTCCAGACGGAAATTCAATTTCGGTTTCGAATTTCTGAAGTAAAAATTGAGAAGTAATAAGTAGGCGTAAAATAGTAAGGCGTAGTTCTCGATTTGAATCCCAACTATAAGCACTTAAATAATATTATTAATTTGTATTTCTTTATAAAGGTTATTTAAAATTGCTAATATTATTTTAGTCTTATCAATAACAAAATTTGATTTTTTGCTTTTATTTTTAGACTTTAATAAAATTTAAATACTTTTTCTTTCCTTTGTTTATTAAATATAAAATATTCCTATTAGTAGATATATATTTAGCGATGCCCATGGTGCTGTTCATATTTACAGGCGACAATTAGATGGTGTGACGGTAGACACTTTCTAACACGTGGTTCGTCAATTTGCATATCATTCTAAGTTGTATAAACAAAGGTAGTTAATAGTTATAAAAATAGTTAAAAAAATAATACTCTCTCATTAGAGGAGATTATTAGCTCTCTTGGTCAAGCGACTTAGTTTTGTTTTTTATATCACGTGAGTAGCAAACAAGCATTCAGCCCTTCTGATAGTAAACGATTACTGTAGCCTATGAACGCCTGCAACACTTGCGGATATGTGCGCGTTGTCGACCTTAAAGAAACCTTAATATATCCTATTTGAAAAACCCCATACTGTAGTCTCATAGTGTAAAGATTTATAGCTAACGTTATGTGTAATTTTATGAAATTTACTATTTACAGTCGAAAATCTAACAAACGAAACCAGCTACAAATCGTACAATATTGGCGTCGATATGGGAATAATAAATCCTGAAAAATATTCCTTCGAGTCATTTAAGACAGATGAACAAAGCATCTTTAGAGACTTGTACAAGGACTATATTTCAATGAATGGTAGTCAGCTGGTCAATTACGAGGAGTGGCTTATTATGAACAATTTCGGTATACTCTCCGACACACAGGAGTCTCTGTTTGAGAGGAAGATATCTAAAAGAAGCACAGCCGATAATAAAAGACGGTTCGTAAATACAGTTAGGAAAGGAGACATTTTGGTAACGGGCCGAGGCATCGGAGGTTTGGTTGGACATGCCGCAATTATGACTACTGACTATTGGGTTTTGGAGATGCCTGGTGGTGCAGGTTGGCAGAAGGGAATTAAAGATAATAATAGACAGATAAGCAAATATAAGTGGTTCGATGAACATGCTTCCGATTGGACCACTGTGTACCGTTGTCCGAATGGCAACGCTGCAAATGGTGCGGCGGTTTGGGCTGACCATACGTATTATAATCCTAGTGGAGGTTCTAAGAAAACGAAGCATATTACATACAAAATAACTATTGATGTGTGGTCAACAAATCCTAGTTACTGTTCGAAGTTGGTGGTACAAGCGTATTACTTCGGAACTGGGTCGAAGAAGGTCATCAGCAGTGACATCTCACTGAGACGAGTCATCGTTCCATCTACTATACCTTCGTATTTTCTAAGCCCGTATAAACTGAAAAATATGGGTAAATATTGATTGGGACTGATCTTATCACGCGAATCGTTTACTACATATTAGTATTATATATAATAAATGTTAATATTTTGATAAAACAAATTAAACATGATAATCGATAATTGTCCATAGTACTATAAGTATTAGCGTATTAATTTAATACTAGACTGTGATTAATATTTATCTATTTATTTAATAATAATAATATTACGATTTTTTTATTTAATAAATCAAAGGCAATAAGAGTGTCATTTATTTATTGCACTACAATTATAAAATATATAGGACAATAAACAGATTTATTATTGTTATTATATTAGGAACGTGATACAAAAGGCGTATTTAATACTAAATAGCATTCTCAATTAAAACAATAATCACAACTTAATAATATACCAGTATTACATAAAGTAATAATCATTCCTTGAGATGTACGTATGTTACATTATCTCAGTAATAGTATTTTAACTTAGATATATTCCTTAATGTAGTATTAAAAGACATTATGCAGAAACTTGTGAACACAAGACCCTTTTTCCAGATTTTATCCGCATTTTACCTTTAGGGCTGAAATGCAAATGGACCAGGAATACGTACACATAGGCAAAATATACATAAGTATTCGAGTGTGAGTTTTTACATAGAATTTCTCAATTACAAATATGCATACTTTGCTTTATAAAAACACCTTATATTTATACTAATTATATAAAGAAGAAAGATTTGTTTGTTTGCAATGGATAAATTCAACCAATCAATCAATCAAAACAAACTTTATTCATATACATATATCTGTTACTTACCGATACGTCATTTTATAATTAATATACTATATAAAATAACGTTAATTAAATTAATTAATAGTCATTTAAATCAGAATAAGATTCAAGATTATTTGCTTGTAACCCAAGCGTATGTTATACTCGTATATGCAGATGTTAACAATACAATCTCGTTCGACATGTTTAGCCTGTACGGCATACAAAATTATGTTGTTACACAGATAGTTCAAATTATACATACAAGTGAATTTCATACTATTAATCGTCATACAATTTTATATAATTAATTAAGAGGAAAACTAATATATTAATTATACACTTCAGATTAATACAATATTCAAATCCATGGATTATTGTCATTTAAATAGTCATTTATTTTTCATAAACTCAAAAACAATTTAACTGTTTTTAAAAATTCTTTCACCTATAGAAGCTTCATTTCTATAAAGCTACATTATTAGCGAGTAACAAAGGTTATAATTTTATTTTCAAAAAATCTATCCATCCGTATGATGCCGGGTCGGTTTACTAGCCGTGAATATATACACATATATAGACGAGGAATTTCGTAAATAACTGTTATTAAAAATAAATTAATACAGAACGCGAAATCTCGTGTCAACAACCAAGCTAATTTTGCTTGCGAACAATGAGTTTTTTGCTCATCAAATCATCATAAAATTGATATAATAATGTCAATTATAAACAGAATTATGAAAAATAGTTCAGAAGTAGTAGATATATTAGTAATAGGGTTACATAGTTACAAAAAATTCAGACGAATTGAGAACAATTTTGTATTGGTAGCTGTTTAAAAAGTATATTTATTTTAACATTTATAATTAATAGGTAATATTTTTGTTACATTGATTTAAATTAAAACATTTTTTTATATACCACTGAAGTGGCAAACAAGCATATGGCCCACCTGATGGTGAATTTAAAATTACTAGTAGAATTTTACTACAATGAATGCTTGTAATTAATGATTGTAATTTAGAAGATGTTTATAGAATTCGTTATTTCTGGAAATTACTCTCTCCAACTTCTACCTACTACTTGTACTACTTTTTTAGTTGTCTTAATCTTGTGGTCAATTGTATGTACTATCGAAGACATTGACATCCATTGATGGTACAGTATCCACCATTTTTGTAACCTCTACTCCTGCAGTTAGCAATGCACTCGTAAAATACACATCCGGGGAATGGTGGCTTGACGGTGATGGTCACACCTCTTTTTTGGATGTTGTGTGATTCTGTGGAAGAAATATTAATTTATTTATTTTGTCCTTTATTATATTAAAAAATGTTTGACTAAAAGTAAAAAAAATCTCAGTTTTTACACTAAGTTTTTTTTTTATGTAATTTTGAATGGAAAATAAGCTGACGGCCAGCCTGATAGAAAGTGGTAACCGTCGCCTATAGACATGAGCAGTACCATGGACATAAGAGAGTAGACTGTCTCGTCCATGATACCTACAAGCGTTGCTATTTCTGAGGACTCAAGTATACTCTGTAAATTCACTGCCATATCTCACACTACAAACCGAAACACAGCATTACAAACACACGGCTTTTTGCTTTGCACGGTAAAAACACGAATGGGACAGAGGTGCCCAAGCAAACGACTTTTGTACAAAGTCTCTCTCTAATAGAGGTAAAGTCCCATAAATATAAAGATTGAGTACTAACCTGTAGACTTCTCGAATTCGATACATGATGTGACAGCCAAGAAGGCCAATGATATTGCGACTATGAAAGCGATCTTCATGTTCTCGTTTTACAGGGATATGTGACCGGACGGCCCATCGCAAGTAATTTATACAACATCCATCCTCGAGGCTGCTTGATCTAAGCAAATACCACTCGTATCCTAATGTTAATTTCTCCGTGCTGCAACTGATATTTCTGTATAGATTTTATCCATTGCTGTGTACACACTAGAATGTCAAATAATAAGCTTAATATAAGTAGCGTTGGATAATGAATTCTCAATTAACAATTAATATCATCATGTCATTATGTTGGTAGATATCATCATAATGGGTAGAGGGAATACCCTGGCAGATCTCTTTGACACAGTAACGTAATTGACGCTTTCGATTATTCAAGTGCATTTGATATGAAAATTTTCATTCATATCAAATGCACTTGAATTCCAAGTTCATAGTAATTATAACAAATGGGTACTAATTTTATTCTTATATTACAATATAAAACGCAATAAATATTTTTCAAACAATTAATTTAATGTTATACCATGTCTTTCAGATATTACTAATTAATTTAATTTATCGTACATTATATTTTAATATTATTCTGGACTTTTTTTTAGAAACTAAAACTATACTCGTGTCATTGCAATTCAGATTATACACCAACATAAAAATGTTTATTCAATTATGGATTGGAATTTGATGTAATTGGAATATGGAAATATTGAAATGGATTTTGATGGAAATACAATAAATATTTAATTAAATTGTTAGTAATACATTTCAAAAAGCTTTTCAATAATAAAATTTATAATGATCATTATGATGGTGGAAATGTTAGGGCTGACAAGATACATGTTAGGGATATAGGTTTTATAACGTCTGTAATTATTAAAAATATAGCAACTACTGCCAATTCGCGCACAGTTTTTTTTTATACAAAGTAATCTCTAAAGACTCTACTTGAACTCCAGATAAATTTTGGTTTGTAATTCTTATATTATATTTACATTGTAGGTAAAAATAGGCAATAGAATTTCATTATTAATTTATTAAGATACAATTGTACAACTTGTTGGATATAAACAAGATAGGTATTTAACTGATGTATAGGTACATTATAGATATACACATTTGTTATATTTATTATAATACTGAAAGAAATAAAAGGTAAATAAATACACATTTAACAAAGAGTTCATAATTTTTCTTTTAAATTTAACTTGCCTTTAAAACATAATTGACAAAAATATATTAAAAATTATTGGAAATTGTTAGGTGTAGATTGCACGATTCATAATATTATTATCTATTTTATTAGAATTTTTTTTTACTCTATTGAACCACTTTAAAGAATAATATAAAGATATAAAAATGTAAAGGAAAGGTAATCAAGTTTAGTTGAATTTATCACAAAACTTTCTATAAATTAAATTAGAAATCGAAACATTCAATTAATTAATATATTCTTTATTTGTGCTATTATCAGATATTAACAGACTGTTTTATGTTTTTCATTATGTTCTACTGAAATAGACTATAGAGCAAGTAAAATAGTGGTACAATTATTTTTCATATTGATGGATTCTGTCACCTACCTTAATCTATGTTTGTGATTAATATAAAGAATATAACGTATAATAGTAAACAAAATATTCACAAGCCAGTTATTATGCTTCATTCATTAATATTTTCAGATTGCTAATAAATGCATTGGCATCCATTAATGGTGCAGTATCCACCTTTCCAGTAACCCCTTCTTTTGCAATTGGCGCTGCATTCGTAAAAACCACACGAAGGAAGTGCGGCCGGTGCTATTATTGCTTCTCTTTTTTCTATGAGGTGAGATGGTCCTAAAAAGAGAAAATTATAAGAAAAATAAAATGTACAATTAATGAAATATGTAGGTCCTAAGAATGTAGAGCTAAAGATAGATTTTATACAAAAGTTGTATCTTAAGGTACCTCTGTTCCAAGTTTCTGATAACAAGTTCTCGTATGGTTGTGATTCAGTTTCACTAGTTGGATAACATGTTAGAGAAATTACTAGAAATCAAGAGAAATTACTGCATAAAAGCATAACGAATAATGCATTGCCGTCATTTTCTGACATCTATGGTGTTGTTCATATTATTCCATGTAATATACTCAAAGAACGACGACACAGAGCTAGTAAAGTATGCAAGTACCAAGAAAACGTAGACGGAACTATCATGATTCTGATGAAATATCTGTGTTGTAGGGTTGAAAAAAGTCAAAAAACTTCAGGACTGGAATCGAAAAAGAATATAAAAGATTGACTAAACCTGTGCTAATTTTGAGTTTCTTACTAACATAGTTTTATCGTTTAAATGTTATGTATTGATTTTTAGAATACCAACCTGTGAATTCATCTTCTTCTACACAGGATGCAATAGCCATAACGGCAACAAGAATAGCGATGATTAAGGAAACTTTCATGTTTACGATTAGAAAGTATCTATGGAATGTTAGACAATTGCAATAGTTTATATACATTCCACGTTTTTGTTTGAAAAGGCAATATTATTAATTATTAAAAGTTCTTCTTCGTAGCCATTTTAAACTAAATCGTTAATAATGTAGTGCATTGCTGACATATTGTTACAATTTTAAATACTATACACTATTTAGCGAGAAATGGATCTTTTATTTTATACTTACGGAAAATACCGCTGAAACAAGAAAAGGGAATACCCGTAGTCAATTTCTTAGTCACAGAATAGTCAGCGATAAACCTATTTTCTAGCTTTCGAAACTCTAGCTTATGTCCTGCCAGTAAATATCAAATTTCTGTGAATGTTTATGTGAATAGGTTACGAAGAAGGTTTTATTTGATTGGTATCTCTTAAGATAACGTATCATTTCTCCGAGCTTGTTTGCTTACCTTCCTTAGTTCTGGGATTTGTTCAAGTATATACTCCTTTAATCACTTGTTTATTCTTTATCAATTAGGCATATTAAGACACATTTTCCTGTTTTGCTTTCATGTATTTTTTTTCTATACAAAAAATAGTAAAGAAAAAAATATTCCTTTATTTATAAGAAAAATTGTCTCAGTAGATACTTTGTTTATATACTATGCACGAAAGGGCACAAAACTCGAAACCTAATGATAGTATTCATGAAACCGAACTGGGAAAAGTCCCCGAGGAGCTCGAGTCGAAATATGAAAATAATTTTTATCCTTTCTATCTAAATCGGTTACATTTTCACCACACGGTTTGGAATGAATGAATGACAACTCTTTATTGTTCCCTTCATAGAATGATGTAGATTGTAAAGATTAATAATGTGTACACAAAAAAAAATGAATAATGGAATGTAGTATTTACATATTTTATTTTATTAATGATTTGACTATTTTTAATCAGTCGCCTATAGACATCAGTGTGTGTGTGCAGTACCATGGACATAACTCAATTGCTTGGGTACTGCTTCGCCCATGATTTTAACCCCCCACGCGTTGTCATTCCTGAGGAGGGCAACGCATGGGGAGTATCATGGGCGAAACAGTATAACAGCATATTTTGTTATGTCCATGGTACTGCTCATGTCTATAGGTGGCGGTTGCCACTTTCCATCAGGTGGACCGTCAGCTCGTTTGCCATTCTAAGTTGTATAAAAAAAAAATAACAAGTCACTATATAGAATGAAATGAAAAGTATGAATAACCTTAGGAAGAGTGTTCTTATAGCGAAACTGAATATATTTAATTAAACAAATATGAATTATAAAACAACAAAAATATAGAGTCTACAATTACTAATTTTGTAGCATTCAATTTTCACATAAATGTCGTTTTCGACATAATTGAATTTATTATTCTTTTCCTTAAAAAAAGTTAAGTTCTATTAGTAGAATTAGAGTACTCTCTTCAAAGGACGTTAATGATGTTAATTTCAATAAAGAATACTCCTTAGAAGAAAATATTATTTGATTGAAAATTCTAAAATTAATACGAACTTATTGATTTAATTTGATACATGTATTTAAGGAAATACTTATTTGTTTTAGCAGAGACGATGCTTCTTTTATAAGGGGAAGAAGGGATTGTTAGTAATGGGGATTAACAATATATTATATAATATAATATTATAATACAATATTCCACCCTTCAAACCGAAACACAGCCATGCAAACACAACTACTTCACGGTAGAAACACGAATGGGACAGAGGTACTCAAGCAATCGATTTTTGTACAAAGTCTCCCTCTGAATTCATTACCATGGGCCAACTGACCTGCTTCATCATCATCTATCATTCCTCACTGGTACATCATCAGTGTATATCGATAGAGCAAGCGAGGTTACGATTCTATTATTATGTATTAAAAAAATATGTTCTTTTTTTAATATGGTGTTTGAATGAAATTACAGGTTTTTGTTTAGGACTTAAATACTTAACACATATTCTAATAAGAGACACTTTAATTAATTACAGTGTCGAGATTGCCGTTGTCAATTTAGAATTTGCGTTCTAACAGACAAGTATCTTTAGAGAAGTCGCATCGAAGCACCCATCTCATATCGTCGGGTCCTATTGGAAATGTCAGTTTAGTGCCTAATACAAAAACGTAGGGCTGTCACAACTCACTTAACCCGTGGTGACGGAGCCGGGTGGACCCCGATAAATTATTGTCATTATTGACCTAAAAATATGCTGATTTTGCCTTCACGGAAAATCTGTGGGATTTCAACGAATATTTAACGTTTATCTCGTTTAAATAGACAGGGCGCCTGCCTTATTTTTATTGGTTGTCAATGCGATTGACATATTGCCTTTTTCATAATGATCTTTATTTTTTTTATGGGATGGAAATGGAGCGTTAACTCCGACTGCTCTATTGGTATCGGTATACCCTGGTGAGGTATACCGAATGAATAATGATAGGTGAGGGAGGGATTTTCCAAGAGATTTTTTTTTTATACAACTTAGAATGGCAAAAAAGCTAACGGTTCACCTGATGGAAAAAGGAAACCGTCGCCTATAGATATGAGCAGTACCATGGACATAACAGAGTATACTGTTTCGCCCATGATACCCCCAATGCGTTGCCATTACTGAGGACTCAGATGTTATTCCTCTGTACCCAGTAAATTCACGCCATATCCCACCCTTCAAACTGAAACACAGCCGTGCAAACACAACTGCTTCACGGTTGAAACACAAATGGGACAGAGGTACCCAAGCAATCGACTTTTGTACAAAGTTTCCCTCTGGTAAGGAGGTCAATCTGACAGGGTATATATATTTTAATGGGTGATAATGTAACGGTAATCCCACCTGCGCTATCCAGTGTACATTGGCGGGGCACCAGTAAGAGATGATAGTTGCGGATATAGAAATAGATGTAGTTAGCTCATCTTGATAAACTCTACTAGAATTAACCACGATGGTTTCTAAGGGGAACGGCGTGGATGCAAGGCGACCGGATGGAGCATATTGCTAGTAATGGGGCTATTTGATCCCACTACTAACAATGCCTTTTCCCCTACAGGGTATATTACTAGCTATTAGACCCCATGAACACTCAGGTTGTGGAATTAGCTCCAAGCCGAGGTTTTCCCAAGAGACTACAGCATGGGGCATACACTTACCATCAGGTGGGCCGTATGCTTGTTTGCCACCTTAGTGGTATAAAAACAATATTTATTTTTTTATTTTTTATGTAATCATCAATATTGTAAATTCTCAAAGTCTATTGGACCTTTTATTTTTTTCATTTACGACATTTTATAATTGTTGTGCGGACGAACTTTCGTGAATAGTTAATATTCTATAAAGTTACTAGGAATATATATATATATATATATATGTCTATATAAATATGTATAAATGTATAATAAAATATATGTATTTGAGAATGTGATATTTTTGATACAGATATGATCATATGAAATAGAGTTTTCAAATGGAAAAGTCATTTTCAATTGCTTTTTGGATGGTTTCATTCGCGATTATTCCAGTTCGCGATTCTTTGCAATTTGTCACAAGGATCTTACAGGTGGGAATTTTAATATCTACACGTAAAGTATATTTTTATTCTTTGTCCTCGCTTCTTTCAGGAGTTGGGTTGGATTTCTTTGTCATGCGGAGCCCTTTGCTTTACCAGAAAGAATTATTATTTCCGTGATCATCAGGTTCCCACATGGCATGAAATAATTTCAGATCACTTACGTAGGAAAGTTTACTTAATAAACGTATATTTGGGGGAAAGGGATTGTTAGCAATTGAGTTTGACAGCCCCATTGCTAGCAATAGGTCGACCTTCACGTGGTTCCCCTTTCGTGAACAAACCATCGTGTACAATTCTTGTTAGATTTGTCTCGATGGGCTAACTGACCTGCTTCATCTTGACGTATCATCCTTCACTGGTACCCCGCCGGTGTACACCGATAGCGCAGGTGGAGTTACCATTGCCGTCGAAAATGTGCGAAAACGAATCCATGTCTCCGACATATGGCACCTCGAGGGTATATCGTCTGGTTTTTTGTGGGTACACCCCCGCCTAACGGGGGGATTCCCACAGGAGATACCCATTCACCTCCCACAAGGTGTATGGGTCTGCATAAAGTATTTTCCAGACGTTAAGTAAAAAAAAAGGTGAAGTTATCATTACAAAATAAAAATATACTTACATTACGCTATTCATCTATAGAGCATCATACATATAGTACATTACTGCAGCGGCCAGTAACTGAGGCATTGATGGACGAACGTGCTAATGTGGGCCGAGGCGAAGCCGAGGCACACATACGTGAGTCCATCAATGCCTAGTTGTGGCCAAGGCTTGTTTAGTACTTTTCTCAAACAATGCGTGAAAATCAAAAACACAATTTTACTTTTTAAGTTCAATGACGAACGAATAACGAACAATAATAATTTTTCACGCGCCATAATGTTCTTTTGTTTTTTTTTTAATAAACGGCTTCTATTTACAAGCTAGTTCGAAATTTAAACAAAACCTTTTATTAGTTACGTCCTTGTTAGCCATGTTTCGAAGTAAAAGTTAATTCCATTTTTAATTTACAGTACGTATAAGAGTTTACATAGTAATTTATCTGGCCGCAAAATACGACAGATATGGATTTTCATACAACTTTTACCGGCCGCTGCCCGCATGTATCAGGCCAGTACGGCAATATCGATTTATTTCTAAGAAGATTGTCAAAATAATGCTCACATTTCTAAGCATGTTTGAGAAAATAATATAGCTTGTGGAATGTAATATATTTAAAACCATAATTTTTATTAAAGTAAACATGTAGCACTCAATTTTTGTCGTCTCAAATACAGGCAAATTGGAAAACCGAAGTGTCAGGATGATTACTAAATAAAAATAGTCTATCTACATTCAATATGTGTTGAAGTTTACCTATTTATATGAATAGACCTAGATATTTCAATGCTATTGACGCGTCTACGTGTCGAGTGCTTTTGCCGTTTTTCGTTTATTTTTCTGGCATTTTACGGACATGAAAGGGAATTGAAACGTATTCATTTTACATGACGAATTTGCGCGAGATGTTATAACGTAATGTGACAAGATTTATAACACGCACACAGATATCAATAACTGACTGGCTCATTAGTCATACTGCTAAAAGGATTTCGTCAGTATCGACACAAAATTACCGAGACTACCTAAAAATATATATAATTCTAAAAATAATATATATATTTATATATACATATGATTTTCAGAATTAAAAAAAAAAACAATCACTGATATAGTAAGAAAAAATATTCCTTTATTAAAAATATGAAATTGTGATTAAAGATTTGTCAGTATTTTGTATTTAGGTTTATCAGTAAATAATACTTATGTTAATTTCATTGAAACATTAAATCATTATATAAACTGTATGTTAGTTCCATACAGTTAAATTCTTTTAACTGTTAATTTTAATTTTAACTTGTCGATAATATGTCAATAATGTTTATGATTTGACAGTAACTACAGATAGATTCGTCATTTAATTTTAATACATCACCAATCAGTAGGTTTAGGCAAAAACCCCCTATGTTCATCAGTGGACAGTTAACGGTTGATATAATAATATTACAAAAAAAAAAA